GCACATAACAACAACATGGGGCAGTTCTACTCTGTGCTATAGGGTCATTAGGAGTCTGAATCAACTTTACCACAATGGATATGGGTATGAGTAATGTTCTTACACATTGTATTGAGTCTGACCTTGCATTAGACTGTAATCTTATCCAGGGCAGGGATTCCAACAAATCCTTCTTTATAACATCAGCATCTGTAACAATGCTAAACTCATGTCAATCGATGCTCAGAAATATTTGTAGACCTAAACTGAATTTAATTGATGCCCAGCTGTCCTATACGTATATTTCTTTTAGATTCTCTGTGCAGTTACACACTGATTTTCAATTTTTAAACTTTGGGGGTATTAAAACTGTGTTCACTTAATAAAACACTATTGATTGGCAGACATATTTCCAAACTATAATTTATTGACTACCAGGCACTGTGGGGGCAAATAAAGATGAATGAGAGACGTGGACTATTTCTACAGGACACTTACCATCTAGTTGACTAGATAATGATGATAATACCTGATAAAAGACATTTGATTGAGTATTTTTCACAGACACCTATCCTATTTGTATCTGGTTCTCCTTTTTTCCTTCCACAATAGAAACCTTATCCCACATAAATATGCTTCCAAATAGTTGACTACTTGAAGGAGAACATGAATTAACCATGCCTTCCTTTTCTGTGGCTCTAGCAGGCAGCCTGATAGCCTCTCATCCATTGAGAATGCTGTGAAGTACAATCCCATGTATGGAAGTCACACAGCTGGATGTGAGCAGTATGAGGGACCCTATCCCCAGCGTCCTTTCTATAACTCTGCTAGTGGAGAATTGATTAGTGGTCTGAGCAGGGAGGAAATCAGAGAGATGAACAAGAACAGCGAGCTTTCTAGAGAGGTAGGAAACTTAGCTTTCTGGTTGCTGTTCTGTTGTGTGTGTGTGTGTGTGTTGTGTGTGTGTGTTTATGTATTGGTATTGGTATGTACCTGAGCTTCAAGAAAGGATGAAAGTATATCATGATTAGTTTTTGTTTTTGTTTTTTTAAAATCTCCTGATATCTCCATGTCTCTGTGGAATGCAGAGGATATACGATTCAGAGCTGTGCCTTATTCTCCACCGAGTGGTCTCTTTTCCAATCATTGTTAACAAAATAATTTTTATCTCTTCCTCTGTTTGTCTCTTTTTCCCTCCCTTCCTTAGAAAGATTCTAAGAATAACTGTTGTGAGTTATTCAAAACAGTACCTGTAATATCCAAATCTTCTGTTTCTCTAAAATGGATCTCTCCTTCATGACCCAGAAAATCACAAATCCTTGTAAAAGTTAGAACTCCTTGGAAAAGGATATTGAGGTTTTTCTAATGCAATGTATAGCTTCTCTTTCTTTCTTTCTTTTTTTTTTTTAAGGAAATTCAAGAAAGAATGAGAATTTTGGAACTATATGCCAATGATCCTGAGTTTACAGCTTTTGGAAGAGAACATCAAATGTAAATATTTGAAACAACTCTTCTATGCAGGGTTTTAACTTGCCTTAGAGTAGTGCCACCAGTGTGAGCCCATAGTTCCTGTCCATATGACATGGTTCTGGTAGTGACCAACAGTTTGTTATAGGAGAGGGATCCCACAAAACTCAAATGGGTTCTTGTCCTCTGGCAAGAGAGAATTTCTCACAGAGACAGAGGTGGTCTGTAGAGAGCAGACCTTAATGAAGCACTGCTTCATTACATGAGACTGTACAGCAGGACAGTCACTAGGCGTTGGCAGCCAGCTGAACTGCCAACGTTGTCCAGTTGGCTTATAGCAATTACAGGGGACAGAATGAGGAATCTATACAATTAGCAATTCACATGGGTGAGATTCCTAGCTTCTGATGTTCTGGTCCTCCAGATTGATCCAGGTATCTGCTTATCTATGGATCCAAAGGGGCTTTGTCACAGAATCTCCTGTCTTGACACCCTAAGTCCTGCAACAAACAGTCTGGCAATTACATACTTTTCTGGTTCTCTGGTTCCTATCAGTAGGGATAATTTAAGTAGTTTACAAAAGAATATGACTGCAACATCTGTTTCTTACATCTGTCCCTACTTCACTGTCAGTAGGAATAAGGTAATTTACAAGGGAATGTGGACTGGCAGCTTCTATTCCATACATGAACCCTCCCAACCTCAAGTTGTTGAATTCTTTATATTTTATCATACACTTCTACGTATATTACCTCATTTATTCCTCATAATAGCTTTATAAATTGGGTTTTTTGTTGTTGGTGTTGAGTTTTATAGATGAGGAAAAGAAGCCTCCTAGAGATAAGCTACCAGCCACTCCTCGGAAGAAAGGCTGGGCAATCTGCTTCCTTAGTGATACTGCCTCAGAGGGGTCACTATGAGTTGGATCTGACTTGAGGACAGTGAGTTTGTTTCTTTTGGTTTAGAGATAAAGAGACATAATCACAATATTAGCAAGTGGCAGTTGTTGTTGTTGTTGTTAGGTGCTGTCAACTCAGAACTGACTCATAGCAACCCCTCCTTGGGTTTTTGAGGAAGTATCACTCTACAGAAGTAGATTGCCCAACCTTCCTTCCAAGGAGTGGCTGGTGGGTTTGAACCACCAGCCTCTGGTTAGCAGTCAAGTGCCTTAGGTACTATGCCACCAGAGAGAAGATTTAAAACTGAGATGCTGTCTGTTCTGGCCTAGTGATTCCTGGGCTATGCCATATTTTCTCTCTTGATACCACCATTTAATGGTATAAAATATTTTTCACAGGATGTTTCTATAAATAGCATCTGAGTAGCCATACATTCCCATGTATTTTATAGCACATCATTTCATTTCCATCTTATAGGTACTTTTCAGCTTTTGATTCACACATCTCCTTAAAGTGTATCTTTTGTGTCTATCAAGTTCATCTTACATTTCATTCAAGTTCATCTTATACTTCACTTTATCTCTTTACATTTTTTCTCTCTGCATGCATTTTGGACAAACATCTCCTTTTTTTTTTTTTTCTTGCCAAGATCCACAGCTAGACTTGGGTTACAAAAATGAACTACCTTCTAAAGAGGGTGTTGTGGTTATTAGTTGGATGTAGAGGGTAGATTACAATTTGGCTTTTATATTTGGTCCTACTATTGCCTGCCCAGGGACGCTTGGTCATGGATAGATCCCTCTAAGACTAGATAGCCTTTTAGAAGAGAAAAACTAGAGCAATTCATGCATGCTTGTAAAAGAAGTTGACCAAGGCTCCAGCATACACCCATACCCCTGTGTGGACCCTTTGCCCCTTTGCTCCAAATCCTTTTCTCCTGATAGGCAGTCAATCCACTTGTATCCCTCTCTAATAGAATGGGATACATTGGCACTTTAAGGAAACTAAAGACGTCACTTTTCTAATTTGATGTCTGTAGTTGTTAGCTGCCATTTGAGTGGCTCCTGACTAATGGTGACCCTATGCACAATGAGATTGGACCATTGTGATCCAAAGGCTTTCATTTGCTGATTTTTGGAAGTAGATCACCAAGGGTCTCTTCCTCATAATCTGTCTTAGTCTGGAAGCTCTGCTGGAACCTATTCAGCATCACAGCAACACGCAAACCTCCACTGACAGACAGGTAGTGGCTGTGCATAAGATACATTGACCAGGAGTCCAACTTGGGTCTCCCAAGTGGGAGGTAAGAATTCTACTGCTGACCTACCATTGCCTTCCTGTGTGCATGGGAAACCAAAACAAAACTCATGCCATTGAGTCCATTCTGACTCATAGTGACCCTCATTGAGTTTTCCAGGCTATAAATCTTTATGGAAACAGACTGACTCATCTTTCTTGTGCAGAACAGCTGATGGGTTCAAACCACTGACTTTCGGTTAGCAGCCAAATACTTTAACCACTACACCACCAGAGCTCCTTTCATATGCATGGTAGAGATTCCTAAGAGTTTCTGAACATCTGTCTTGGGGCCTGGAAGGTGCTGCCAACATTGATGTCAAAGCAGTATTATTGGGAGCCTGCCTTTTAAACCAGGACCACTCCTCTCTGTGTCTCCAGCCAGCAAATGACCCAGGGTTCAGGGTCTGCTATGCAATAGAAAGAATGCAACAATCATTTTTGTCTTTTTAAAGAAGGCTGGCGGTTCAAACCCACCAGCCACTCCTTGGAAGGAAGGTTGGGCAATCTACTTCCATAGTGATACTGCCTGGGAAACCCAAGAAGGGGTCACTATGAGTCGGGTCCAACCCGACAGCACATAATAACAAGAACAAATAGGTCTTTCAGACATCTATCTGAATGTGTTTCCTGGATTAAAAATATATCTCATCTAAACCAAGACATCTAGAGTAAGGATTCAGAAGAGCCTAATTAGGAACAGAGAAATAGGTTGCATGCTTCAGTTTCTTTTGGTGGACTGTCTGGCATTAAAGTACAGGTAGTCTCTGACTTACAATAGGGTTCTGTTCCAACAACGCTGTTGTAAGTTGGTTCTGATGTAAGTTGAACCTCTCTCTCTCTTTTTAAAAAATTTTCGTAGCCTGCTATATGGCAGTGTTTCCAACTGTAAATCATAACATCGAGTATATGTGAACGATAACATCAACAAATCATGTGCTGCAACATTATATGTAGTCTATATTACTAACAATAAGATGTAAAAAAAAACAAAAAACCCAAAACCTGAAAAACAAGCAATCCGATATACAGTTTATCATTAACTAGAATATGTCATAAGTAGACTAAACATGAAGACATTATGAAACAAAAGAAAATCCACATATACACTGTATAGTTAAGAGGCTATTTGTAGAAAGAAGATAAACTAAAATATGACAGCATTTAAAAAATGTTGGTATGTAATCTCATAACCTATATATCATTTTAACTTTTCACTTAGATTCAGAGTCTTCATCTATCAGAAGCCAAAGGAAATGTCAATGGATTTGATTTTGGATATAGTAAAAGCATTGTAAGGCTTTGTAGACTGGATTTTTTTTTTTTAAAATGGTATAGCATAGGAGAACTTTTCTGCAAAAAAGCAAAATAGAAAAGATTGGTGAATTTGAGAAAATAGTTTGACAATATATTACAGCAAAAGTGCAGTGTTTTTCTTTTTCAACTAACTGCTCTTTGGGTTTTCATGGCAGGGAAGAGCTTTAACCCAAACTCCTATTTTGAAGCCAGTTGGAAGCCTTGAGAAGACGGAGATCACTTGTTACCTATGCCATATAATTAGCTTTCATTTTGAACTCTGTTGGAAGAAGAGATTTAAAACACACAAAACATTAAATTTAAGACACAGCTTTTTTTTCCAGCTTAAAATTTCAGAATGTAATAAGAAGAAATGTGACTGTTTTTATACCTACAAAGACCAGAAGTTGCATTTAAAGAAATTCAAAACCGTATGAGCTTTAAAAAGTTTTTTTATAAGAAGAAAGCCGGGCCTGGAAGTTAGGACTGCACTTGCTCTCTGCTTCTGAATCTGAGTCTCTTAATAACTGTGCCTCCATTTTCCTAGCAGGGAAATAACATGAAATTATTACAAGGAGAAGTCATGCTTTGTAAGTGACTCTTTTGTAGCATATTTTTAATTGTCAGGTTGAATGGGAAGCCTTTGAAGTGGTCCTAATATAGTTTATAGTGGAACATTCATCTAAATCAAATGTCTATGATGTCTTGGACCAAACTGCTGAAGAAAAAGCAACTTTTTTTTTTTTTTTT